GGCTCTGGCTCTGCACTCTTCTGAGTCTCTTCAGAAGTAAAAACCTTCCAGAATGGCATCACCAAGCCAGACCTGCTCTGACTGCACCTTTATTCATGCCGAGTCTTCTTCCTGGAGTGCCCTTTTCTCCTACCTCTCCAGGGCTTGCTCCCTCAAGGCCGAACTTATATCTATAACAACAGCTGGCAGATACGAGAGCACACCCTGCTAAGTATGGGGCCAAATGTGTTTTCACAACATCTAATTTAAAGTGACCTCACCAGGACCTGCTCCTCTCTTCCCTGCCCCCATCGACTCACAGCCCCTTCCGGGATTCCAAGAAATATCCCTGTGTCGGGTCCATAGCTGACTCACCTCTCTGTGCCTGGCACTCCCAGATTTCCTGACCAAATGGGATTTAACTGAATTTAGGGTGGGAACCACAGGTGTGGATTTTAGGACCCCAGAATTGGCTCCTCACAAGCTGCCTATAGGACTGCCAGGACTGTCACAATGCTACTGAGGAGTGGAAAACTCATCTAAGCCAGTGCTTTTCCTTTTTTTTTCCTCTTAAATTTTTGTTGAATTCACTGGGAGGTGACATTGGTTAATAAAATGACACAGGTTTCAAGTGTACAATTCTGTAATACATCATCTGTATATTGTATGTTCACCACCCAAGAGGTACTTTTCCTGAACTTGGGGGGGAGGGGGGGGTCATCTCTGTCCTCAACGTGTCTTCTTCCATGAGGTGTGACATTACACATAGAAGTACACAGATCAGCCAAAACCGGTTTGGCTCAATGGATAGAGCGTCGGCTTGGGGACTGAAGGGACCTGGGTTCGATTCCGGTCAAGGGCATGTACCTTGGTTGCAGGCATATCCCCAGTGGGGGGTGTGCAAGAGGCAGCTGATCAATGACTCTCATCGATGTTTCTAGCTCTCTCTCTCTCTCTCTCCCTCTCTGTACAAAAACAATAAAATATATTTAAAAAAAAAAAAAAAAAAAAAAAAGAAGTACACAGATCAGAAGGGCTCCACCTAATGAGGTTCACACTCAGGCGGCCAGTGCCCACATCGGAAACACCGCAGGAGTGTCCCTCCTGCTTCCTTTCAGTCACTCCCACCCCAGTGTAACCACTGTCCTGACTCCTAACTGCTTGCGTTAGTTTTGCTTTGCATTTTTATTAATGGAATCATATGGTACACGCGACGATAGGCATGTATGCAGATATGAACGTAGAAACGCTTTTGAATCTGGCCTCTTGGATGGGTGAGATTCATCCACACTGTGTACGGTCACAGCTTGTTCATGCTCATTGCACTGTTGGATTCCAGTCTGTGATTCCAATTCTAGTCAGGCATTTCCATCTTTGGGCTGTTATGAATGATGCTACGATGAACATTCTAGTATGTTGTTTTGGGTGCATGTATGTATATATTCTTCTGGGTATATGACTAGGATTAAAATGAAAGGATCACATAACCTGCACATTTCTACCTTAACTTTGATTGATGCAAACTTACCATCTGCTCGGAGTATCCAGCTTATGTTCATCAAAATTGAAGAGCTTTTCGTTACAACAGGTTCCACTCGAAGGTCCCTCAAGTCTCCTGGGGTCAGAGTGTGTCTGACCAGCCACTCTGGAGATGGTCCTAGGAGAAGGTGAGACTGCCCATGACACACCCCTCCCTTGCCCAATTCAATGCCATCTCCTCCGAGTGACTCTCCCTGATCCAACCCTCATTCACAGTCCATCCCTTCTCCCTGCTGAGGCAGCCTGACACTTCTCAGTGTTAACTGACTCAACCTCCTGGCCCCAACCTACACACCACTCGGGACCAGTCTAGGTGCCTCTGTATGCCTGTGTATGTATGTATTCAATGTATTTGACATGTTTACTAGACTCAAGCCTTCCCCATGCCTCAGCCTGGCCCACACACTTCCCACTTCCTGGTCTTTGCTTTTTCCTAGTCCTCTAGCTCACCCTCTTCATCTACATTTTTGGACAGAAATCCACCCAGTCTTCAAATGCTACACTCTCAAACAATCCTCTAAAATACTTGCTTCCTATTTCTAAGTGTAAGTGACCCCCCCACACACACACTTGTCTCCCCCCTCCTCCCCACCTCGAGAGGCAGACCTCACTGTCTACCTTGCACAGCCATTCCTGGCCTGCCTGTCCCCTCTTGCTGTCATTCTGGCCAGGATCTCCCCCTGCCCCTCCCCGCCCATCTGAAACACAGGGAGCTTGAAAGAGGTTGCATATACCGTATTTTTCGGACCATAAGATGCTCCGGACCATAAGACGCACCAGTTTTTAGAGAAGGGAAATGAAGAAAAAAAGATTCTGAAACAAATAGTGTCCTAAAATATTTTATGTGCATTAAAACCCAACATCACAGTCATAAACACATGTAATCAACCCTGTAAAGTAAACAGCAGCATTTAGAACCATTTTAGGGTGAGCACACAGAGACCACACAGAGCCGGGCAAGTAAAAAAACTTTTTTTTTAAAGTATATGTGTAGGCTATATTTGGACCATAAGATGCAGGGACTTTTCCCCCCCACTTCTGGGGGGAAAAAAGTGTGTCTTATGGTCCGAAAAATACGGTATATCAGCTAACAAAGCAATAGTTCACTGTAAGCCTGGCCTCCGATGACCCACGGCCTGGATTCGGGCCCTGTGAAAGTCCAACTGTGCTTTCAATTTCAATGCAAAGCCCCAAATACCCATTCCCCAGGACACCTACCATTCTCAGAGCCACACTGAATCGTCTGCAAGAGAGAGAAAAGCAAGTGTCATGCTGAATGCCAGCAAACCACTAGCCAAATTAGTCAAAACGCCATCTGTTTGTCTTAAATGCATATACAAGTGCTGAGTGCTTAAATAAACGCTGGGCTGACTCCCCTTCGCGGGGCGGGGGGGGGGGGGTGGGGGGCACGCACGCAGGTGTGGGGGAGACTAAGCTGCTCCATTGTGGACTGTGATGGACCATGGGCCAGCCATCAGCATACTAGGTCCGGAAGCCTGCTTAACACCTCAAAGACGGAGGGGATGGCTCTGGACCATCATGAAGACCCTTCACACTCTAACATTTAACCATAGGTTTCCAGGGCCAGCTAGTATATCGGATCTTTTTATTTTCCCCAGGTTAAGAACTGGCTACGCTAAGAAGATGAACAGAAGAAAGCCACAGATGCAGTTCATAGTACCTTCCACGGTTCTTGAAAATATGCTTCTAATGCAAAAGGATGGACTCGTCTGTGTTATTTACAAAGTCATGAAGCAACTGTGAGCTCATCATGTTATCTTTTTAAAAGAACTTAGACAAATAAATAAAAAGGCATCATTGGTGTCCAAGAAGGCCAGTACCTCCTCCTCTTGGAGTTAACTGCCCATTTTTAAAATATATATATTTTTATTGATTTCAGAGAGAAAGGGAGAGGGAAAGAGAGAGAAACATCAATGATAAGAGAGAATCATCAATCGGCTGCCTCCTGCATGCCCCCCACTGCAGAGTGAGCCCACAACCCAGACATGTGCCCTTGATCGGAATCAAACCTGGGACCCTTCAGTCAAAACTGGCTAGTAGGGCATTTAAAAAAAAGAAAAAGAAACAACTAGTAGTTTGGTTTTGAAATAAAATACTGAACCTTTTAGGCAGCAACAAGTACTAGTGACAAGACTCAGTGCCCTAAGTCCACCAGCTCTGAGAGCTGATTTCTCTCACCTCAACATTTCCAAACACTGTGTCAGACAGAAGGCAAGACTTTTGATGGTTTGGGTAATCTGGGTTTAGGTGCAATTGTCAGTCCCTCACCTTTGTCTTTTGAAGCTGAACTCCAAGGGATAATGTCAGACATTTTAAAAAACAAATCAGTCACCAAAAGGCTGGTGGGACAAGTTGTAGGAAGAAGCAAAGCAACAGATCTATATGTTAGAGAGCAAACCGTTAGCCCAATAGCAACCACGGCAGAGGCACAGAGTTCTTTCTCTAGTGGGAAAGGCCGAGGGGGTGCCTAACCCATTCCGGTGCGGCAGGGATAGCAGCTGAAGACATCAGGGTACCCGGATGGGGTTTGTCTTTCCATAAAGACCGTGCTATTATGTGATACGGCTGTGCTGAAAAGGGAGGGATGTACCTTCCAATACTGTTTGTGAGTGAGCTTTTTCCTCTTTAGTGACACAGAACATTCCCTGTTCAAAGTGCTGGGCAAGAAAGGAAATTCGTGCGGGAGAGGATAGCGCTTACCAGCTCCGGGGACCAGGCACCCCAGCACAGTGTGAACCAACATGACAAAAACAGCGAGTGGGAATGAAGAAGCAGATCCTGCCCCCAAAAGGTAGGCAAGGCCTCAAGAAGCCAAGCAGAAACAGTGCTGAGCACCTCCGGTGTGCTGGGCTCTTTGCGGCAGGCCCTCCTGTTCCTCCTCACTAGATTCTGGTGAGTTAGGTGGTTATCCTTTGCCTTACAGATGAGGACACATAGGCTCGGTGAGCAGAAATAGCTGGAATCCGAGTAAAAGAGTGGCATTTGAGCCTTGGTCTGTCTGACCAAGCAGCAGGAAGCCGGGTGCCGCCTGACCAGGACAAGTTTGGGTACCCCAGGGGTGCAGACTTGCCCTCTCTTAGAAAGCCTTAAGGCTTAAGCTGATCCTTCAGCCAACTTCAAGGTCCTGGCTGGAGGGATGGAAATGCGGGAAAGGGAGCTTACCGGCTCCTGGGACAGGGCACCCTGGCACAGCGCAGCCAAACTCAGCAACACCAGCGACATCGCAGGGCCACCGCCCCCCACCGCGCGGTCCTCGCCAGGTTCCCATAGCGCTCTTATAGGGCGCCCTGGAGCCACCCCTCCGGGCTCCGCCTCCCACAGCGCCAACCGGCCCCGCCGCCCACTCCCCGGGTGGGGACCTGGGAAGAGCCCTCGCCTGCGGGATCCAGAGGGATGGGCCGGTCCCAGCGGCTACAGACCCCTCGCGGCCGGAGCACGGGCACACGTGGGTGCGGAGTGAGCCAGGTGCAGGCGGCATTCCCGCCTCGGGTTGCGCGCGCCCGGCCCGCCCGAGCCGGCTGCCCGCCCGGCGTTGGTCCCCGCCCCGAGCCCGCCGCCCGCCGTTCCCCTCCCGGCCGCGGAGAGCGCGCGGGGCGCGGCTCCGGCAGTTAAAGTGCAGCGGGGCCCGGGCCGCCGCTCCTCCAGCTCAGCCTCTGCCCCCTCCCGCTCCGCACAGCCCACTGTCCCGTCCAGGCGCTGCGCCTAGCCGCCCAGGGTGAGTAGCAGCAGGGATCGGGCCCCAACCCCCGCCGACTCAGCCCACAACGGCGCGGTCCGCGCTCCGGGGCCTCCTCCGCCCCGCATGGACCCGGCCTCAGGCCGGAGGTTTGGTGAGGCAGGGAGACCCCGGCTGGGCGCTGAGACTGGGACACCACTTTATGCAAAATCCAGCCACCCCCCCCCCCCCAGCAAAAGGGGTGGGGCACGCCTTATTGAATTCTTCCTGGAGCTAGTTCGTGTTGCAGGAACTAAGTTCTATGTTATTTAGGTTTAGGGTAACAGAAATACTCCTCCCCCCCGCCCCCCAGGTTTTTCTGGTAAATGTAGATTTCCCCAAAAATGAAGGCTGGCATTAATACTTGGATCTCCCAAGGCTGTTTTTGCTGTGGTCCTACTGTGTGCCAGGTATATGGCCCACCTGCGGGGTTCTGCTTTGGGTCTGTATGGAGTGGGCCCAGCCTCAAGGTCAGGTGGGGACTCTGACATGCATATATGCGGGGTTCCAGGTGGCATTTCTAGAGGATTGATCTAGTTTGCAACTTTGGTTCTCCGGTTTCACTGTGCCCAGGATTCTCAGCATTGCCTTCAATGCAAATCCTGGCCCTTTCTCGGCGATTCTTACCAGACAGATGGGGCAGGGTCTGAGGTCTGCGTTTAACAAGCCCTCCCCGGTAAATCTGACACAGGCAGTGGGGGACTGCTTTTTGGAGACATAGTGGTTCCAGCAGCGTTTCCCAAACTTCTCTCATGATGAGAATCACCTGGTGGAGTTGTTACAATACAGATTCCTGAATCCCAACTAAGAAGTGCTAAACTAGAATTTTTGGGAACATATAGGTAAAATTGTATACTTAACGAGTGCTCTAAAGCTAAGTTCCCAAAAATTCTAGTTTAGCACTTCTTAATTGGGATTGAGGACTCTGTAGTTTAACAACTCCACCAGGTGATTCTCATCATGAGAGAAGTTTGGGAAACACTGGTTTAGGGGAAGGTTAATAAAAGTCAGCTGGGCTAACAGTCATCGCAGAGCTTGGAACTCAGCTGCTTCAGCCCTCTCTGTTTGCAAAGGACAAAGTTGAGGTGACCAAGTCACGTAAACTTGTAACCCAAGTTAGCTCCATTCTACAGATGAGAAGACTAAGACCTAGAGAGGGATGTGGGTCCCATGGATGGAATTGGAGGAGCTTGACTTAGTCAAGCAGCTGTTTTTGCTGCAGTCCTATGTGTGCCAGGCCTGGCCTCCTGCCAGGGGCCTGCATAGAGTGGGCCCAGCCTCAAGACCACCTAGGGTTCTGGCATGCATACCTGTGGGGTTCTAGGTGACATTTCCGGTTCCCGCCCAAGGAGAGTGAGGGGTTCAGGTGAGGTGGTTGCCTCACCCTTGCCTGGGGCTGGGTGACCCTGGACACCTTGCTCAACTCCTCTGAGCTGCTTTAAGCCCTGTGGTTCCTGATCTCGTTTCCAGCTCTAATAGCTGTCTTCTTAGCAAACACCTGCAGGATGCCAGTGCCGGGGTGCAAAGGTGAACACCACACGGGTGCGGGCTGCCGGGCCCTCTCGCACTGAGGATGAGTGTGGTGAGAGTATGTTCCAGGGCATGTGCCTGCCCTGCTGTGAAAGTGCTGAGATCATGAACTTTGTCCCGTGGTGGCCAGGAGTCCCGGCAGAGGTTTATTTAGGTGGTGGTCAGCATTCAGTTTTAGGAAGGCTACCTTGGTGGCCGTGTGGGTCAGTGGGAGGCCAGCCCCTCCGAGACCAGCAAGGAGGGAGCTGCTAACCGAACACTTGCGGCCCTGTGGTGGGCCAGGGCCAGGCTGGAGCTGCACTGGGTTTTCAGCAGCGCCAAACAGGCCTTTCTGTGGGAACGTGGGGCTGTTGAGTGGGAAGCGTTTGGGGACAACCAGGGGTGCAGGGGTCAAGCCTGGAGACAGGATCTTTGAGGCAGACATTTACAGGGGGTGCTGGAGAGGGGAGGAGAGCTTAGTGGAGGTCAGGGCCAGGAGGGGCTGCACCAGGAGTGAGGAGGCAGCTCGTGAGGACAGCTGGGGCAGGGGTCACGCAGAGGCGAGGTGAGACCTCCTGACCCACAGTGGCCCTGCTTTCTGTGGCTGCATCTGATCTGAGGGGCCCCCCGGCTTAGGTCACTGGCAGTTAGGTATGGTTTTGGCTAGAGGAGGTGAGAGGGCCATGGGAGTAAGTGGGTTCAGATATGCGAGTATGGGGGTTGGCTTTTTTAGCAATGGGAGAAGCTGAGGTTCTTCAGGAAAAGACACTGCTGGGCAATGGAGAAGGGGAGGGGAAGGTGAGGTGGTGTAGGGGTCGCTGAGCATGTGGGTAGGAGGGGAGGAAGGGATACTGAGCATTGGTGTGAGACACAGACTGAGTCCCCCATCCACTGCCCTGGGTCCAGGCGTGGGGGCGGGCACAGAGGAATGACACTGCTGAAAGTCTGGCCCCCTGTAGGATGGCAGTGCTGCCCAGGCTCTGCGACAGGATGGCAGAGTGCGGGGCCCAGAGGTGAGCCCTGCAGCCACACCTGGTGTTCTCTGTGGGCAAACAAGGTGTGCCCGCCTGTCCTCTCGGGGGGTGCCACGCTGCTCCGAAGGCCATTGCAGGTGTTCCCCCATGAGAGGCCCTTGTCGATGCAGGTGCAGTCTCCGAGGAGGCTGGTGGGGGGGGACCCCGCGTGCTTGGGTGCCTAAGCCCAGGATTGTGGTGGCTTTATACACGGAGGCAGGGCCACTGCGGGTCAGGAGGTGTCAGCTTCTCTCTCTCTCTCTCTCTCTCTCTCTCTCTCTCTCTCTCTCTCTCTCTCTCTCTCCGTGACCTCAGGCGCGGCTCTCCCCTCCTCAGAGCCTCATTTTCCTGTTCTGTAAAATCAGCAGATGAGAGTTGTCTTGGCAGTGTCTAAATGAGGTGACTCAACTCTGAGGGATGTGGCCTTTGGAAATACTGTGACCTTACCCCTTCGGTCATGAATTCTGCCAGGTCTTGTGTCTGAAAGAGCCACCGTGCAGTGTGACTTCATGCCAGGTATTGAGCGTACTCCTTAAATGCTTGAATGAATGAATGAGTGAATGCCTACCTTCCTGCAAGGCCAGCACCCAAGCCTACCCAGCTGGGAGAGCTGGTTTGGGCTTGTTCCTCTTCCTCCTCGGGTGGGCGAAGGTCAGGGCCTCTGCTGGAGCTGGAAGACTACTCTTTCCAGTCCCCATGGCCCCTGACCCCAGGCCCTCTGGGACAGGCTCTGGGTCACAGCTAGGGGTCGAGAAATACAGGGTCCCTCATCCTCTGGCTGAGCTACTCACTCCCCCGCTGCAGCCTTCAGCCAAGCTCTTGGTGTCTTGGAGCCTCAGTCTCATCCATCAATGGGGTTGACACCAGCCCTGCTGGACTGGCCAGGCTGTTGGGTGACTCTGAAGAGATGGGAGGAAAGTTGAAAGGTTTAAAGGTGCTGTGTAAATTTAGGGGCAGGGGAGGCAGGGCAGTTAAAGAACGAGTTAATGGCTCTATGGCCCAAATAGGGAAATTCCTTTGGACCCGGTGCAAGGACACTCTCAGGTTCTGTCACTGTTATCAGACCTTTGTATCTCCGCTGGAGCCATCCTGGGAGAACAGGGCCATTAGGGTTGTTGACATGTTCCAGGCCCTGCCTCCGCCCACACAGGTGGAATTTTCCACTTGGTTCCTCTTGCAAATATTAATCAAGGCCCCGCCAGTTAACAGTGGACTCATTGTCTTGTGAAGAGCAAGCCGTTTCTGGCGAATACTGGCTGCCTTCCAGGGCCCTGGTGCCTGCCCAAGCTGGGAGAGGGGGCCATTGGGAGCACTCTGCCCCCAGTACTCCCCCGCCCCACTCCACCCCCATCACCCATGTTCTGCTCCAGCTGGTTTGAGCTTCACGGAGTCAGCAGTCATGAAGCCACACAGAGGACTTGCCCTGCAAACATTTTCTCTGCTCCCGAAAGGGGGGGGGGGGGGGGGGCTGGCCCAGGAGCACACACAGGGACAGGCCACAGGCCTAACTCCACCTTAATATCACTGCGCCTGCTGAAACCCTGTGAAGTCACAGCCCATGTTACCTGCATTGATCTTCACATGTGTTGTCACATGGAGGTCTCAAATCAAGACCAAAGCACGGAGTGGGCAGCTGCTATTGTTCTCTAATTGGCCTCACAGGGCTGAAGGGGGATCTCTGGCCACTTGAGAGGGTGGGACAGGGAGCACCCTGTCGGGCACATGTAGCAGAGTTGGTGATCTGTTTTTTGCTTAGCAATACTTTACTTCATCTGTTATTTATAATGTTATTTATTGATCATAGTTGCAGCATCACTGCCCACACTTTATGAAGGAAGAAGTAGAGTAGCACGTATTTTTGGTGTGCACTTTTAATTCTAACGGAGCTGTGAAATGGGTGGCTCTGTTCCCATTTGATAGATGAGGAAACTGAGGCCCCCAAGAGTTGCTAACCTGTGAACAGTGGCACGGTTAGGACAGCAACCCGAAGGATCTTGACCACCAGTCCCTGTCACGTTTTTTAAAGCAGTGAAACTTGGACAAGGAGACCTGATATATAGAACACATGCAGGCGATGGCTGCATATCAGTCTGCTTGTAAGTTCCCACCTGTGATTTTTTTTCATGTCCTAGTCAGAGCAGCGATCCTATGATCATGAGCTCACTCTTGAAACCAGGGTGCTGGTTGGTGTCTTACACAAGCCCTGGTGCCTGATTGATTTCTGCACTTTAGTTCAGTGAGAGAATAATTTGTAGTTGGCACACGGAAGTAGTGGGGGTTTTAAGCAGCTCACCTTGCAGGCTGAGACCCTGCTGCGGAGAAAGCCAGCCAAAGTGTGAGGAAGAGGGCTGGCTAACTCGCATCTCCTCCCTGCACCAGTAACTTGTTTTTTATTATTATTATTATTATTATTATTATTATTATTATTTTGTTAATCCTCACCCATGGATATTTTTTCCATTGATTTTTAGAGAGTGGGGAACGGAGGGAGGAAGGGGGAAAGAGAAAGAGAGAAACACTGATGTGAGAGAGAGACATCGATTGGTTGCCTCCCTCATGCGCCCCGACTGGGACGGGATTGAACTTGTCACAGTCCCCGTATGTGCCCTTGACCAGAAGTTGAACCTGCCTTGTACAGGCCAGTGCTCTATCCACTGAGCACACGGGCCAGGGCCGTGCCAGCGGTTTATGGAGGAAAGTGTGGGCGTTGCCCACTAGGCTGCTCCCCGAGGAAAACCAGTGGGCTCTGCAGCGTCTAGTCAGTGCCGGGTTCGCAGGAGAGGGAGGACTGGAGCCGGGATCTTCGGCACACCTGAGCAGGTGGGTTTGGTTTCTAGGGGTTCATGTGCAGTCCCCAGCAGTGCTTCCCAGACTCTCTGTGCTGAAGGACCAGTCATTTGTTAGGTTTTTGAATTTTAATCTCTTCCAGGCCAGTTATAAAATGCAGTAAAAGTTGTTATAATAAAAATGTAGATACACAAAATTTAAGCCCGTTGTCTTTTTTTTTTTTTTTTTTTAAAGCCCACTGTCTTATTATAAGATTCAACAGACACAAAGCCACTGTGTGTCAAGTTCCTGCAGAAGCTTCTGAACTCTGACTTTCGATTCTGTACTTATCTTTCACAGACGATCGACAACAGCGCGCAGGCTGCACCGGCCACAGAGCCCGGATCCTGTCACATCTGGGTGGAAGGTGGGTGCTTTTCAATTGATATTTTGCAAACTGTTGGAAAGAGTCCTTGAAAGAGGAAGCTGGTGGCAAGCTTTTGCAGAACCCCGGACTTCTGTAGAATGGTTTGAAGTAAATCCTCAACCCGGACGTGGCTCTCACCTGAGAGGCCCTCCCGCCCTGGTTCCTGTTCCTCCCTCCTCTGGTACGGATGTTTGAGATTTAAATCAGACAAAACACCCTGCATGTGATGGAAAACTTGAAACACGTACAAAACTAACCAGAAGAGATTATTGCACTCTGATTTCTCATCATCTCACGGGCCACCCTGTTTTATCGCCTTCCCGGATCCTTGGGGTTATTTTAAGCCAAATTCCAAATATCCTTTTTGTGTGTGTGTGTGTGTGTCACATTTTCAGTTTGTGTTTCTGAAAGAGTTGTGCTAAGACAACACTTGTCACGTCTGACACACAAGCAGTGATTTCTTAACATCCTCACATTCCCAGGACCCAAATAAGATGCACACATTCTTTCGTAATCTATAGATTACCCTCCATCTCTGTCTGTCTGGTTTACTTTTATTTGGTTTATTTTGTTGTTGTTTTTTAAAAAACTATACTTTATTGATTTCTTACAGAGAGGAAGAGAGTGGGACAGAGAGTTAGAAACATCAATGAGAGAGAATCATCTATCAGCTGCCTCTTGCACACACCCTACTGGGGATGTGCCTGCAACCAAGGTACATGCCCTTGACCAGAATCGAACCCAGGACCTTTCAGTCCGCAGGCCGACGCTCTATCCACTGAGCTAAACCGGTTTCCGCTGGTTTACTTTTCACTTAAATTTATTGTTCAGGAAATGAGTGGCGTTTCGCGTAGCCTGGGGTCCCTGGGCTTTCTTTCACACATTCCTCTGACCTTTGTCCTCTGATTTGGGGGGTGGATGTAGAGGTGTGAGCAGATTCGGATTTGAAGTTTTTTGGCAAGGATATTGTATAGGACTTCTCCCAATCGGGCCTGTCTTGACTTGGAGAAGTTGTTTGTTTTGTTAACTTCTCCTGTGTGTGATGTTACTTTGGTGAGGCCCAAGCTGATCTTCCGTGGGTTCTGGAAGCCCCTTGGGCTGAGAACACCCATGGAGAGCAGATTGTGAGATGACATGGGAAGGGTTTGTGATGGCAGGGACATTGCTAAGATGCCATCGGAAGGGCTCCAGCCCAAGGGGATGCCTGGGATGGTGGAGCCTGATCGAGGCAGGAGTGCCCGGGGTGGACAGAAAGGGGGCAGATTCAACAGACCTGGCCCTACCCCTTTTAAGAGAAGTCACTGCCTCTGGGTGCCTTGGTTTCCATGCTTGCCGCCTCTCCTGAAGTGAGCAATGCATTTTTATATGCCAGTCACATAACAAGCATTTACTGAGAGCCTGTCGCGTGCCTGGCCCTGAGAGCTGTGCGCGCCTCCCACTGCAGATACAGTTGCAGCTCCGGGTACAGGTCCTGCAGGCGGAAATCTTGGTAACTCTTGGCCACGAGGCCACCAGGCTTCTGGTGGTCTCCGGGTTCCATACTGTGCCTGGCCCATAGGCATAGGGACAGGTGGGAAGGCCAGGTACCTCTAGGGACAGCGCCAGCCTCGGGGCACCGAGGACCTTGATGCTCCCGAGAAGCGAGAGCTTTGTGTTAGGGTCTGCTCACGGGGTCCTTTCTGAGGATGGTCCCACTTTTTACTGCGCCATACCTGCTGGCAGACAGTCAGCTTTTCACCATTGTCTGCCAGCATAAACATCTCAAGACAGAGCGCTGTGCTTGCTTTGTCAGAGCTCTCTTTTGGTTAAATTCCTAAAAGTGGGATTGCTGAGACAGAATGCTGCCCCTTTAAAATCCCGACACATCCATTGTCTTCCGGGAGGTTTCACCTGCTTCCCAGCTGTGCCCAAAGCAGAATCACCGTTGTGGGCCTCCCCTCCGCTGACCGCAGAGGCTGAAGCAGGTCTGGCTGAGACTGCTCCATCCCTCTCCAGGGTTCTGTCCTCTCTTCTCGAGTGACCCACAAAAGCCAGGATTCAGTGACTCAAAGGAACTAACCCCACCCCAGTCCAGTGCACTGGCCCAAAGCTAACAATGAACCATGCATGCACAGGTACATGTGTGGGCACACACACACATGCGTGCCAAGAAGTTGGAAGAACCCCATTTAAAGGGTAGTTTCAGAAAGTTTTGTCAGCTCCCCAGCTGTGTGACTGCAGCAGGCTGTGTCCCAGGTACAGGTGTTCCTGAGATGGTGGGTAAGCGTTTTGTTCTGGTTGCAGTTCTTTTGCATTTGAGGCCACCAAAATGATCGGACTCGTGCGATTGGTCACAAGCTCAGAATTACATGGAACTCTGTCTTGTCATGCATGAAATTCTGACCATGAAATGTGGCAAATTTTTCAATACCTTTTTAATACCAAGTCTTCACCTACTGATGTGAGAATTGTTAGTTGCCACAGAGTGCTGTGGTAATGAAATCCATTAGCCATAGTCAGTAGGGCGTGGTGGCCCCTACGTTTATTACTCCTCCGTTTATGTCATCTCTGCACTCAACTCAGCTGGTTCACCACTGGCCTTGAGGACAGTGGCCTTCAGTTGACCGAGCCTTACTACTCTGACAGAAGCGACACAGGGACTATGTGCCCAGCTCCAAGCTGACTGGGCGGTAGAAGGTGTGGCTCAGGGGAGCTGCCCTGTGCCCTGGGAAGATGAGTGTGATCTTGAAGGTCTTCTCCCCTTGACTGGGAGGCAGGGCAGGTGGTAGTTTCCTCTCCCTCTTGCACGAAGCAACAGAAGTGGAGAGACAGCATCCAGGTTGGTCAAGGGCACAGGCACCTGGAGTCAAAGGGAGCCTTGGATGCCACCTCACTTCAGCCTCCATTTATGGTAGGAATCCCCCATTTCTCTCTCTCTCTCTCTCTCTCTCTCTCTCTCTCTCTCTCTCTCTCACACACACACACACACACACGCACACACACTCTACTCACTCTAATGAACACACATGTTTTCCTGTCTTTCTCTGGTCCCATATGTCCTACCCCATCCCATCTTTAATTTTTCACACAGCCAATGCCAGGGGGCTGCTTCCCTGTCCAGGAAAATGGAAAGGGCTGTTTCTCTGTGACTCCTGCCACCTCCGCTTTCCCACCCCCATTGGTCCATCTGCCCACCCACCCGGTATGGGAGCCTGAGGGAGTACTGCACTAGAAGCAAAGGGGTCCCCGCCCCCAAGGAGGTAGGTTCCTTTGGGTAGCAGCCCCGCCCATCCCCCTTCTACCCACTGTGCACAGGGAGTATGTGTAGATCCTGCTACCTCCCAACACTGTGGGCCCAGTGCCTCTGGAGCCTGAGGGACTCCTCATCCCCCCAGCCCACGGCCTGGCTTCTGAAAGGCAGGGGGAGACAAAATGTAGTTACTTTTTTTTCAGGTTGAATTATATTCCGTGTTACCTGCTGATGGACATTTGCATTATTTCCACCTTTTAGCTATTTTGAATGGTGTTGCTAAATAGATGAGTGTATTAAGTATTTGTTTGGGTCCCTGCTTTCAGTTCTTTTGGGTGTATACCTAGGAGTGGAATTGCTATATCCTATGGTAATTCTAGGTTTAACTTTCAAGGAACCAACATATTGTTTTCCTCAGTGGCTATGCCATTTTATATTCCTATCAACAGTGAACAAGGGTACCATTTTCTCTACTTCCTGTCAACACTTGTTATTTTACATTTTTTTTAATTATAGGCATCCTAATGAGTGTGATGCCGTATCTCCTTGTGGTTTTAACTTGTATTAGTAATGTGCAGCATACATATATATGGTTATTGGTCATTTGTATATCTTTGGAGAAATGTCTATTCCAGTTATTGGCCCATTTTTGTGTTGTTTGCTTTTTGTTGTTGTTGAATGGTAGGAGTTGTTTCTGTATTCTAGATATTAATCCCTTATCAGATATATAATTTGTAAATATTTTCTTCCGTTCCTTGGGTTCTCATTTCACTCTCTGGGTGAGGGTCTTTGATGCACAAAATTTTTAAATTTTAATTAGGTCCAATTTATCTTTTTTTTTTTGCCTGTGATTTATCCGATAACTCATCACCAAATTCAGTGTCATAAAGGTTTTACCCTATGACTGGGCCGGCATGGCTGAGTGTTGACCTATGAACCAGAAGGTCATAGTTTGATTCCTGGTTAGGGCACATGCCCGGTTGCAGGCTTGATCCCCAGGATGGGGCATTCAGGAGGCAGCTGAGCAATGATTCCCTTGCATCATTGATGTTTCTAACTCTTTCTCCCTCTTCCTTTCTCTCTGAAATCAATAAAAAAATAAAGATTTTGCTCTATGTTTCCATGTAAGGGTTTTATAATTATAGTTCTTACATTTAGATATATTTTAAAAATATATTTTATTGATTTTTTTACAGATAGGAAGAGAGAGGGATAGTTAGAAACATCGATCAGCTGCCTCTTGCATACCCCTATTGGGGATGTGCCCGCAACCAAAGTACATGCCCTTGACTGGAATCAAACATGGGACCTTTCAGTCCGCAGGTCGATGCTCTATCCACTGAGCCAAACAAGTTTTAGCACATTTAGATATTTTATCTATTTTAATTTTTGTGCATGGCATAAGATGAGAGTCCATATTTATGCTTTTGCATATGGATATCAATTTTCCCAGCACCATTTCCTTAAAAGATTGTATTTTCTCCATTGAATAGTCTTGGCATCCTCATAAAAAAATCTATTAATCATTGCTCTGGCCAGGTAGCTCAGTTGGTTAAAACATTTCCTGATATGCCAAGGTTGTGGGTTTGATCTCTAGTCAGGGCACATGAAAGAAGCAACCAATGAGTGCATACACAAGTGGAACAACAAATCTGTCTCTCCCTCCCTCCCTCCCTCCCTTCCTCCCCTCCCTCTATTTCTCCCTCCTTCCCTCTTCCTTTCTCCTCTCCCTCCCTATCTCTCTATCTCTCTCAAGGCAATAAAAAAATTA